ACTGCAAAATGCTCTCCAGAAATCTTTGAGAAAAATATTCTATTTTCTTGATCTTGAACAATCTTGTGGTTTCAATTTCAACCCTTCTGCCAGCCAAGCTTTTCACATGAGTGTCCTTCGTCAATAGCATATCTGCACTGCAAGCTTAAGCTTGCAACTTTGGCCAAGCACTGAGTAATGTTCAATTTTCCCTCAAAATGACAGGCAGCTCCCTTCGCCACACATTTTTCGCTGCTAACTTCTGCTGCCTTCCGCATATCGCTGAAGGCTGATGCCAATCGACCATCGCGAGCCGCTTTGAGGAGTGTATCCCGAGCCTTACGGTTCATAGCACACGTGAAAAAAGAACGACATGGATCGCTAATCGAATGACCTCGCGGCGCAGCGACTCCACATCAGGTTCTTGTGGCTCCACTTCAACCGCTTCAGCCTCCAGGAACATGCAAACGGATACAAGAGTTGTTGTACAAGTGGCATGGCGCGGCCCAGTCTGCGCGCCTTGGATTTGAAAGCAGCTGCCAAGCGTCCATCTTGGGCAGCTGCCAACAACTTTTGCTTGGCCTGTGGAACACGGCTGACAAAAGCATTACCAAAGCCGTGTCATATGATGCTCTCGTGAATGTGTACGCTGCATGCATATATGAGTTTACGTGTGTTATTTTTCTATATTTTTCCCCACCTGCCAGGTGAGGGTTGTTAGGTGTTCTCAAACTCTTCTCCTCCTCTCCTCTCCTCTTCTCCTCCTCCTCGCCAGCAAGTTAGAGCAAGTGGCAGATCGCAATGGGCACTACCGGACCTCAACCGCAAGCGCGAGATCGCAGTGTGCACTGCCGGACCTCAACACACAACACACAACCAAAAATCATAACGACAAACACACAACACACACTACAAAACAAACAAAATTAACAGAAAAAACACAAACAAAAGTACACACACAATCACAAACACAACCCCACAAACACAATTGCAAAGCACGATCACAAACACAATTACAAGCAAAATCAGAAACACAATTACAGACACAATCACAAACACAAAGCCACAAGCACAATTACAAGCACAATTACCAACACAAAACCACAAACACAAAGCCACAAGCACATATAAACACAATCACAAACACACAACCACAAACACAATCACAACACACAACCACAAACATACAACACACAATACACAACCAACAAAACACAACCACATGCGCAAGCACAAAACACAACCACAAACACCAACACAATACACAACCAACAAAGACAATCACAAACACACAACCACACGCACACTACCGCTGCGTGAGTCACTGTGTTTGACTGTTCGTTTCCCACCATGACATGAAAACAAACGATTGACATGTCATGGTGGGGGTCACTCGAAGTAAAGTAATTCTATTTCTTGATGTGTGCATCTATTTATTTGTGTATTTAGAGTATATATCGGATGCCACTTCATAGCGTTGTCTGCTTGGTCTATTCGCAGTGAAGTGCCGAGTCTAAGGATATAATGGATGACTATTCCAGCCTCTTGACGAAGAGCAGCAACGTCCATCTCTGCCTTGTCAAGCCGAGCAATGAATACAGTGAAAGTCGACCAAGCACCGAACGAGCCTGCTTCACAGCACTGTGAAAGGACATGACTTGTCAAGGCCTTTATAAACACAGCACCATGTCTCCCCAAAGACATTGGCAGCTGGTTAGCTACGGTGGTGTCTTTAATGGAAATGCCCTTCGATCTGTGTGTGTAACCCTTGGAGTCACAGGGATTCCTTCGAATTTGTGTTGTTTTCCGTTTATAGCAGGGGGGCAGTGCACGACTGACAGACACCGTCCAACGAAGACGCTGTCAGTTCGTGGTGAAGCAATGAGGGACGCCACATTGCGTACCTGCAGCGATCAACGTTCATTTCCTTTTGGGCCCTGTTGTATCTAGAACAATTTTCCAGCCATTGCAGCGGTTCTTCATTGGTAGATGTGCACGTACACCGTCAACCTGTCGTGACCTTCAATTCGACTTCGTGAACTCTGGAGTTTTCTTGGTACTTTTGGTACTCTTAGGCGTTCATACCTAGGTGGGCGTGTGGCAAACCGCATCAGTGTCCGTAAACAAAATCTCAAGTGTGTGCGCGTCTTGTTGGGTGATTTTGTTGGTGTCCTTTGTGATTTCTCCTGATTTGTTGTGCTTGGTGATGGCTCATGACTTGTTTGATCTAATGCGATTTTGCTCGCTCGCCCTGGCTGTGGTGACTTGTGAGATCTGGGCATGTGTGTGGTGTTCTGTCGACCCTCACCCGCAAGTGGGTTTAGCGCCAAAGCGTGGGGACGCCGTGCAACTCTAACAAACATGTAACATTAACATAGTGGACAAACACATTATATTCTTTCGTAGGGTTTTGACCTATAGCTGATAGCTCAATGATTTGTTGAAGCCTCATCCTTGACAACTCGACCAGCATTTCCTCATACATAGGAAGTTTGCTGGGGTTCCCTCCCACTCGTTAAAATCTGTTCGCCATTACACAATGTCATGAGGATGTAGTACTATCCAGCCATCACCGGGCTCCCCATTTGGAATTCGCCTTTCGACCTTAGATGCCCTCTAACTAGATGAAGGGGCGAAGTTGGCTAAACCAACAAGCCTAAAAAGGGATGAGACGAATGCCAGGGCCAGCAAGCAACCGCCGAAAAAGTTTCTATATTGCGATTCTTTCCCATTCTCTAGCTCTCCCATCCCACGATCTCCCTATAGCGCGACGAGCTTTGAGTCCGGTAGTGGCACGGCCCATCCCGATCTCCCTAAAACACGCGACCTTTTTGTGGTTGTCAGGCTAAAAAGAACGCGCCCCTCGGGGTCGCTTCCATATGAAGCTACTAAGAACAAGAAGCTACTAGGGGCTCCGGGCCGTACTACTAGGAGCAAGGCCGCTACTAGTAGCTCTCCTTCTCAATCTCGCTATATCTCTACCTCGCATGGGCCTGTCTGCACTCTACCCACATCCATCTATCCACATCTACTTATCATCGTTTAACATCAAGCCACATTGTAGCTCTATCTATCTCCCTATCTCTTCGGTCTCTCTGTCTCTCTGTCCCCTTCTATCCATCCATCCCTCCACCCATCCATCAACCCACAAGTGCACTCAAAACGCAAATGATGCAAGCCATCAAGCTGAGCATCCTCGACATCACCAAGACCCCAAATCGCAACTTTTTGACATCATCCACCGCTCTTACCCTTTTCGTCTTTCTTCTTCCCACACTCTTTCTAAGTTTGTCAACAGTGCTTGGGCATTGACAAAGAATTGATAAACAAATTTAGTGTTCTGTCCTCTTCCTCCTCTCTTTTCAACCCTGTATACTACTTGTTTTGTCTTTCGAACTTTTCCCTATCCGACCTATCCTTCCCTTCGCTCGCTTCAAAGCTCTCTCTCTCATTGTCAGAAATGCCTGGTGACCTGTAGTGACTGGAACCCATGACAAGCGACGAAAGCGGGAAGGGGGGACGACTGGACGGACCTTGGTGGACGAGTGGAACAAATGTCCTTCGACGCCGTGAGCTTTTGGAAAGAGGCATGTTCGCCACTCAAAAAGCGGAAACGCATCTTGGAAAGAGTGCCAACTTAGAAGAACTCAGAAGTTGTAGATAAACTCAGATGAACCTGAAGCTTCCAATCAGCTGAAAGATAGATAAGAAGATTGAACAAAAGATGCGAAGTTCAAAAACAGAACAGGCACGTAAATCTTGAGGTGACGTGGTGTTTTGGAAGTGTCACAGGTCGCAGTGAAAGCCACACACACAGACATACCCAGAATACCAAGGATACTACCAAAGAAAGAAGTTGCAGACGGACGTTGACACTGGATGGAGGCCATTGCTATTAGGTTGGAGACCATGGCTACTAGGTTGGAGGCCATGGCGCAACACCAAAATTCACCATCTTGCTTGCTGGACGGAGAATAGCACGGCCCAGCAGCACAAGCGAAACCAAAGGATCTCTTGTTGGGATGGCAGATAAACGGTTGATGAAAGGAATATAAAATGCACCTCTCACCAGCTCACCGGCACATTTGGACAGTGGATGGCCTGATGTGTCAATAGGGGGATACCAGGATGGAGGTGTTCTAGATCCGTGTTAGCCAAAGGCAGCAGTGTAGACTCAAAAGACAACTTGCACGACAAATTGCATTGTCACACTGTTTACATCGGAACAATAACATTAAAAACAGCTTCTTCGCGGTATGATCCGAGTATCACCACATTCAATTGTGTCCACCACGGGAGTCTTGATTTGTTGGTTCTTTTCGAAAAACCCAATAGCAATGGCCTCCGACCTAATAGCAAGTCCGCGTCTTCTCACTTCCAAAAAGACTCCCACAAACAGCCAAGAAAATGTCTATGCGTCTACGTCCTGAAATGATTTGACTGGACGACGTTTGTTGGACCGGTGGTGACTAGCTTGTCTGCACTCTGTTTTTTGCTAACACACAGCCACTCCTTCTTCTTCGAACTCGGTTCTCAAACCCGTCTCTTGGCTACTAGTAAGAATGCTCCTAGTAGCGATGCCAGGAGCCCCTAGTAGCGTCCTTGCTCCTAGTTGCGTCGGAGGCACATGAAACTTTCTGGGTCAGTCAGTCCCCTTCACAGACCCACAAGAATGTGACATTTGCTGCGGGTGTTGTACAAATCTCCATTTCTGCCTTGTCTGTCCTTCTCTCTCTTATCGTCCTCCTTTTCTTTCCCGTTCCTTCTTCCCCTTTCATCTTCCTCTCCTGTCCCTTCCCTCACATTTGTCACATTCCACCTTGTGTTCTTGGCACTGTTTGATTCTCCACTTTCATGCCACCCACTGGATTTGACAACAATGTTACGGCACGCAGTTTGTCTGGTCGCGGCCGAAAGGATTCCACGCAAACAAATGTGTGGCCTTTGCAGCAGTAGCTTCTTGCAGCGCCGTGAGCAAACGTCCACTCTGAGCTGCTTGGATCAGCGTCTGGCGAGCCTTCCAACCCAAGCTGCATCAAACCCATTTTCAAAGGTTCAGGTCTTTATCACAGCATTCCAGCCTCCAAGCGAGCCGCTTCCGCCTCCTACAAATCCAAAAAGGAGCCACATATAGCCACATGGTTTCTTCAACATGTTGAAAGCTATATATCGATGCAAGGCACCATTTTGCAGAGTTTAGCCCTTGGCTTTTCACGGGTTCCCCTTTGAATCCCTTACACTCAGCCTGTCCCGCCCGATGTTGCTTGGCTATTTGTATACGGCCATCCAACTCTTCAAATCGTCGCTTCTCTTTCTGCATACAAATTATCTGAGCTCTCAAGTAGTATCACAGACAAAAACTGGATAATGATGGATAATGCGATATACTGCTGAAGGGTGCAAAACGACTCAGCAGTGGCTATAAGCAGCATTTATCGTCACCCCCTTCAGAATTGCTAATGAACTCTAACATCCAGTTCTACGTGAACGGCATTGTGTCTCCCTTCCAATGGTCCTTATTTGTTGGCCTTCTTGACAAACTACCCAAACTACCATCATGTTGGACTTGTCCAAGTGCACCCGAGCCGCGCAAA